GTTCTGAAAGTGTTCCTGGAAAACGTGATCCGTGACGCAGTAACGTACACCGAGCACGCCAAGAGGAAGACCGTCACCGCCATGGACGTCGTATACGCTCTTAAGCGACAAGGCCGTACTCTGTACGGTTTCGGAGGTTAAGAATATACTTGTGAATTTCGTAACATCTTAAAAAGGCCCTTTTCAGGGCCACCATATATCGTTTTTAATCCAAAATATTGGACACTCACTAACATTGAAACACATCATGATTCTAGGAGGGGCACATACTCGATGGTACCCTCTATTAATTTATTTTCGTTCCATAAGTTAGTAGGTCTCGGCACCAATTTCTTTTAAGTTGTGTGACTAAAGGATTGGGATGGTGTTGCAGTTTGGAATGAAATCTGTTATAGTATAATTTAGCTCAGTGTTTCTCAACTAGTGTGTAGCAGAGGTTAAGTCCGAATGTGTCGCGTGTAGTACTAATATTAAATGACAAAATGTTCAACTATTATTATTTATTAACACTAATAATTATTTACAAAAATTCATAGGTATTTTATAGAATTTCCATAATGAATAAAAATAGATTATCAGCTACCGTCGTTAAATACATTTTATTAGTATCATAATTTTCGAATAGCCTATAGTGTTCAATCCCCTTAATTGATAAATGTTGGTTTTTCGATATTTTCGTTCATTTTTAAACAGTGAAGTATAGTATATTATAGTATATTATATTATAATTATATATTATAACAGTATAGTATATTTATACTGAAAACATGCACCGTATCTATAACTCACTTTATTTGTAAGCTCTGTTGTCATTTGCTTCTATTATCGGTTAGACTTATTTTCTTAATTTACCAACAACAATAATTTTTTTGCTACTAATTAAAATAAAATGGATAAATTTTTGATTAAAAAAATACAAGTAGTAAGAGAGTATACAGATGAAAATAATTTGGAAACAGAAAAAACTCTTCACCTTCGGTAAATGCATCGTCAAGTTTTAAAGAAAAATCAGAAAATCCTTCTAAAAAATTCAAAGTTAAATATCGTCAATACAATGAAAATTATTTAAAATTAGCATTTTTTTTGGGTTGGCGACAAACATTGTCCTTTTCCTTATTGTTTTATTTGTGATGAAAAATTATCGAATGAAACCATGGTTCCCAATAAGCTAGCCCGCCATTTTACCACGAAACATCAATCGTTACAAAATAAACAAATTGATTATTTTCAAAGACTATTAGATTCAAAAAAACTACAATCAAAACAATTTGTAAGATCAGTAAAAATTTCGGATAAGTTACAGGAAGCTAGTTTTCGTATCGCCCAATTGATAGCTAAAAAAAATCTTATTTAATTGCCGAATGTCTTATTATGCCAGCTTGTCGAATTATGTTAAAGACTATGTCAGGAGTCGAAGCAGAAAAAGAAATAATTAAAATGTCTGTATCTGATAGTACAATTTGTCGTAGGAATATAAATTCATCAGAGGATATTGAGGAGCAGGTTATTGAAGTTATAAAAAGTGGAGAATTATTTGCTTTGCAAGTTGATGAATCAACAGATATTAGTGGAAAAACTCAATTAATGTCATTCATTAGATTTATTGTAAATTCAAAAATAGTTAGTCAATTTTTTTGTTGTAAAGAATTATCTGGGACAACAACTGGTCGAAATGTTTTTGATGTCATAAATAAATATTTTAAAAGTTATGGTATATCGTGGACTTCTTATGTAAGTATTTGTACAATAATGACAGGCTCTATTAAAGGATTTATTACAATTGCCAAAAAGCAAAATCCAAATATAATCACAACTACACTGTTTTTTACACAGGGAGGCATTAGTAGCAAAAAGTATTGTTAATGAATTAAAGATTGTACTTGATCAAGTCGTAAAAATGGTGAATTTTATTAAAAGTAGACCTTAAAAAATTCGATTATTTTCTCAGTTATGCGAATCAATGGAATCTGACCACTATACATTGATTATTCATACATAAGTACGTTGGTTATCAAAATGCCGAGTTTTATCACGTTTTTATGAACTTAGAGAAGCACTTTTAGTATATTTTACAATGGAACAAATGGAATATTTCGATGAATTTTGGTGTTCAAAATTAGCATATTTAGATGATATTTTTGAACACCTGAATCAATTAAATTGAAGAAAGCAAGGTGAAAATCAAAATGTATTAATATCTACAGACAAAATGGCTGCATTTAAAGGCAAATTATTGATTTGGAAAAGAAGGGTAAATGATAATAATTTGGATATATTTCCATTAACTGCTAATACTAAATTTACTGATAAAATAATACCAATTATCAATGACTCAATAACATTATTGGACCAAAAACTTAATCATTATTTTTCATAGCTAGATTTGAAATTATTTGTTTGGGTGAGGAATCCATTTAATCCTAGTTTAGAAACCACACATGACACACCTTTCATTAAAAGAGGAAGAACTTGCAGAATTAAAAAAACGATCGCACTATTCAAATGAAATTTAATGAGCTCGAGCTAGGTCAATTTTGGATTTACATAAAAAAAGAATATCCGAGTTTAACAAAATTGGCTCATCCCGTATTATTACCATTTTCAACATCATATTTGTGCGAGGTAGCTTTTTCTGCTTTGAACGAAATTAAAAACATAAAAAGGGAAAGATTAATTAATAACGAAGAGGAGTTAAGAGTCGTCTTATTGAAGATTTCACCACGGATTGATACATTATGTAAGAAATATCAGTCACAAATTTCTCATTAAAATGCTGTTTTATATTATATTTTTCTTTGTTGTTTTTAAGTTTATATATTATAAATATTTAATACTACCTTACTACCTATTATTCTTATTTTTTCTTACTATGTGTTGCAAAGTATGAAATATTTGATTAGTTTGTCACCGTTATACAAAGGTTGAGAAACATTGATTTAGCTAGTTGGTCAACTGTTGGAATTCTTAAATCATTGTGCATGGTTTCATTTGTTACGTACCATGGGGCCGAGGGTTTTAGCCTGAGAGTGATGGATTTGGAAGCTTGGATAGTGCGGACTTGGGAAGGTTTGGCACTTCCCAGATTTGCAAACCGTACGCCCAGGTGGGTCTTAGTAGAGATTTGTACAATGTGGACTTTGTGTGTATTGATAGTTTGGATTTAAGAATGGGCCTGAGTAGATGAAGTTAGGTTAGATGTCGGTTAAGGATTTTACGTTTGGACTTTAGATGAGGTCCCCATGTCAATCTTTTGTCTAGTAAAATTCCCAAGTATTTTACCTGATTCGATGAAGGAATTTCGACTCCTTGAAGTGAGAGCGAGGGGAGGTTGTGTTTACGCAGTGTAAATGGCACTTCGGAAGGTTTATCGGGATCTATTAGAATTTTTCACTTGATTGCCCAGGTGCCTATTAAATTTTGGTGATTTTGGAGATAGTTTGAAGATAAAATAGGGTCTGAATTGGAAGAGAGTATAGCTGTATCATCTGCATAAGTTGCTTTGGTTGTGTTTGCTGTTTTTGGAATATCTGATGTATATGTATTAAATAAATCGGGTGATAAGTCACTTCCTTGTGGAACACCGGCAGAGATTGAAAAGTAGGAGGATATTGAGTCACCCTGTCGAACTGCAAATATACGATCATAGAGGTAGGATTGTATTATTAGATAGTAGGGAGCTGGGAGGAATAATTTTAACTTGTATAGGAGGCCATCGTGCCAAACTGTATCAAAGGCTTGGGCCACATCTAGAAAAACTCCTGGGCAGTATTCTTTATTTTTGAATGAAGTTTGAATTTGATCCGTAATTCTGTGTATTTGATGTCGAATGAAAGCCGAATTTTCCTGAAGCCAAATTGTGTGTGGGGTATTATATTGTTTGAATGAATGAGTAGTCTAATTCTTTTGATGTTAATTTTCTCGAACAGTTTAGCTAAAACTGGTAGCAGACTTATAGGTCTATAGGATGACGGTAGGTGTTTGGGTTTACCGGGTTTATGTATAAGTATTACTATAGAAAATTTCCAGATTTAAGGGAAGTAAAAGTCTTAACAAGGAATTATAAATAAATGTGAGAAGTAATAGAGTTTTATTGAGTAAGTGTTAATATTTTATTTGTAATTAAGTCGTATCCAGGTGATTTCCTTGACTTTAGTTTACTAATAAGTGTTTGATTTTATTTGGGGTTGTGTGTTTTGCTGGGAGAGACATTGGTAAAGGACTATCAAGAAATCTGGCAATATTGTCGAGGTGTGTAGATTCAGGATTATCATTAGTATGTGGTGTAAATATATTTGAGGGATGGGTTCCAAAAAGTTCAGCTTTCTTTGTCAGAGATCGCTAGCTCTCCATTTGGACCATTGAGCGGCGTAGCTTGTTCTTTGATTTTGAGAATATTTTTGTTAGTTCTCCATAGAGAACCGTCATTAGAATTTAGTGATTGAAATTTTTCTTGGAAAAAGTTGGATTTGTGTTTTATGATGAGTTTTTTGATTAAATTTGATAGATTACTTAATAGTCGTTTATCAGAAGCAGGTTGGATTTTTGCCACAACAAGCGAACTCTTCTTTTTTTATTATTTGTTTTTGGATTTGAGAAGGAAATATATTATGTTTTGAGTTGTCAGGTGTATTTATGACATACGATGCTTTGAAAAAGGGCGGTTTGGATTGAGGTCGTTAAGTTTTGCGCTGCTTCATCGATTTGGTCGGTTGATTTGATTGATATTTTAAGGTTAGTGGCATTTTCTAGACTTTTTGAAAAGGAACTCCAATTGACTGGTCTTTTCACTAAGGAAGGACGGGGAGGATTGTAGTAAATCTCACAATTCAGATTGAGAAGAACTGGACTGTGGTCACATGCTGGATCTGTTAGATTTTTTATGGAATGAGTAATGTGTCTTGGGATTGTGGTGAGAAAATAATCTAAAATATCGGGGTGTGGGTTTTGGTGGGAAGACCAGTAAGTAGGCCCCGGAGGAGATATGAATGTAATTCTTGTATTCAGTATAATATTATGAAGCAACCGACCCCTAGTGTTATTGGTCCAACAGCCCCATTGCGAGTGTTTGGCGTTGAAGTCACCGTCTATAAGAAATGAGCGGCCAAGTGAGTTCAGAAATTGGGAGAGATGTTCAGATGATATTGCAGGCCTTGGGGGGACAATAAACTGCGGATATAGTTGTAGGAATATGAATATATGATGCAGAGTAATTAAGATGTTTGTAGCTTGTATAGTGTTAGTTTTGTAATTAAGTAACGGTTGGTATAGTATTTTTTTTGAAATTATAATGGCCGAGCCACCAGGGTGGTCGGTTCGATAAATGTTGTACCTGGGGAAAATTTTTTTAGAGTTTGAAGTGCAGTGAGTTTCTGAGATAAGTGCAATGTCTATATGTTTTTCTGTGAATAGTTTGAGCAGTTCAGGTTCATGACGTTTAAGACCGTTTGCGTTCCAAAGAAAATTTCTAAGGGAATTTACGTTCGCTTGTCTATTTAACATCTTTTAGGACTAGTTTATTTATAACAGTAGTGAGAAGTTGGATTAAAGGATTTATCACTAATTTAAATTCTGATAAGAATGAGGAAAATTGAGAGGTTAGATTGTTTTCGGGTTTAGTATTAAACATATTTGAATTGAAATGATTTTTTTGTAGTAATTTGGTTTGTCTTTGATATCTTGCGGGTGAGACACGTTTTTCGGAAGGCTTGGAAATTCCTAGGTATTATTTAAATTGAGATTAGGTTGACCAGAATGTTTCATCGCTAGTGGTTTTATCCCCATTTGCATTAAATTTAAATTAACATTTTGTTTAGTTGTAGCTTTGGAATTATTGTGAAACTTCCGTAGGTCTTTGTGAACGGTACATCCGTGGTAATTTGCCGGATGACTTCCTCCACAGAGAGCGCACGTTGGAGGTTGATCTATGGATTTGGTGTAAGAAAATGTGTGAAGTTCAGCACAGCGGACGCAGCGAGGTGGGTGTGAGCAATAGCTTTTGGAGTGGCCATATTTCTGACAGTTTTGGCATTGAATAACTTCCCGACGTTTATATGGCTCTTCGATTCGAACTTTGGTATGAAGAATAGATGTTACGTGAGATATATCTTTGTTGATCTCAGCTGGTTCCAGATCAACAAAGAAGAGAGGCAAATTTGTTTTTGTTATTTTGTGACGGACATTGGCAATTTGACGCAATGTGAAGCCAATTTCTTGAATGGCGATTCCAATCTCATTTAATGGGGTGGAAGGATGAATAATACGTATAACAACACGAAAAGCTTCGTTTTCAAGTTGTTGATATGTGGTATTCGGCTTTATTTGCATTTAGATATTTTATCACAGCTCTATAAGAGTCGGAATTCTTAGTGAGGATTTTTAAATCATTAGTGGATGATTTGAAGAAGAAATTTTCTGCACCAAGCAGTTTGAGAAAATTATTGCAAAGCGCAACAAAGTCAAGTACCCCTTGAACCATAATTGGTGGTGGAGATGGTGGAGGTTTGACGAGTTCACCAATATCGTCTGATGCTTCGTTTGATAGATTCTGAGATTGGAACGCTATCTCTGGGTTGTCATCAACAGCAAGACAGGAGTATATATTTGTTGTTGAAAATATACTTTTTTGGGTCGTCTTAGCTATTTTGCTTATGGAAAGTTCGTCAGAGGATGAAAGATTCCTATCGGTTTTACTAGACTTTTTTACGGTAACGTCAATATCCATGCCAGAATTTTCGAACACATCACTTGATGCACTCTGTATACGACTGGACGACGTGGAATTTGTTTTATTTCTATTTGAGGTTTTATTTTTCGAGTCAGTAGTATTTACATTATTATTGCGGTTCATTGTGCGTATTGTCGTTATCGCGACTTGAGTTAGATTAGATAAATATCTGCCGCTGGCAATGCCGGGGATCGCGGACGACAATTCATTACGTAGATACCGTATAGACATACTAGTATAGCCATTATAATTACCAATTTTGGGATGATTTGGGCTTGTGAGTTTGAAATTCCGTGGCGATGCCGGAAGTGGGATACACAGGCCGATATCCGGATTTTTTTGAGACCATTCACAATTCATTTGGTTAGGTTAGATAAGACTTGAGAAACAAATGAAACTGCGTGCATGTGTAACTGGTACGTGTGTTGCGGACAACAATCACGGAGTGAATGGAGACTCACTAACAAAATTCAAGGAGGGGCACATACTAATAATTTTAACGCACACTAAATCCGTATTGGTTTAGAAATATAATTCAATATTTTTTTATTTTGTCTTTATTTTAAATTTAAATTTTTTTATTCAAAATCATAATGTGGTTCAAATTTTTTATTACAAAATAAATAATGTTCTTATTTGATCAAGATGGTGTTTGCTGTAATTATTGGAAACAAAAATTGAGAGTATATCCTTGAGAATTGTTTATGTTCATTTGAAATTCAAATTCTTATGAAATGTATATTTTACATAAAATAACAAAAGTTGTTTTGTTGTTCAAAAAGTTTTAAACTGCAGGGGCTCATAATTTTACCTACACAGTACACAGGTACTTAAATTATCATTGTCTACACTCAATGGCAATTTCAAAATATTTAAACTAATTTATTTAAGCGATTTTAAACACACATCTTTATTATAACAAATTAGTTAGAAAATTAAAAATCTTTTTCATGAATATAACCACATTTTTATAAAGGAAAAAAAACTAAAATAAAAAAATGGGTTTTTATTAAATATATGAAAAACGTATTGTCTTCAACAATTAAAGTATTAAAAGTATATTTTTTGTGGGGTATCCCTGCAAAGTTAGTTACAGACAATAGTCCATTGTTGTGCTCTATACATTTTGAATTGTTAATAAAAAATATTGGAGTCTTTCATATTAAACCTTTGGCTTACAATCCTTCTTCTAACTGTGATGCAGAAAATCTAGTTCGCACTTTTAAAAATTATTTAAAGAAGTGTTCTCAAAATTTGGATTGAGAAACAAACATTTATGACTTTACTTATCTTACAATAGTTCTAAACATTGTGCAACAGGAGTTCACACTATATAACTACATTTGGGTAGATCATTATTTAACTACAGTGGATAGACTGCTTTCTGTTGCAAAACAAAATATATGATGACAATTTAGAAAATGCAATAATTAGAACTTACAGAGATGGAAAAGAGAAAGAGTTTGATATTGATGATAAAGTTATGAATAGAAATGATGGGAGAGATGAGAAGTAAGTACCAGGGATAATTATTAAGATTTTATCTCTAGTTACATATTCAAATAGTATAAATGAATTTGATTTGGAAACCTCACACTAATCAAATATTTGAAAGAATTGAGTCTCAAAGTTTTAGTATTGCCTTCGCAAGAAAAAATTACCTGCTTATCAATATAACTACATGGAGGTTGTAATAACCTATGGAGTCTAGTATTTAGCTTCTTTCGCTTGTCTTTAAGATGAAGAGACCAGGTTAAATGCTTGTCAAGTTTAACTTCCATTTCTGGTGATATTGTTGATTGATATGGCTGGGCAGCTATGAGGCCTGAGTGAGAGTGTCAAAAGACTTTGATTTGTTAATTTTTATTTTCCAATTGGTGAATCATTGTGAAAGAGTATTTAGGCGAGTTGTAGTTTTTGAGAAGTTATGGTGTGGTTGGAAGAAGCTGAAAATAAAGCAGTATCGTCAGCATAAGTTTCAAATATAGTATTTGCTGATGTACTAATTTGGAATACTGTTATTGCTTAAACATAGTGGCGGATGTGTTTGAGGACAATTTTTTCAAGAATTTTAAACAAAACCGATAGCAGGCTAATAGGCTTGTGCAAGGAAAGGTTTTCTATAAATAAATAGTTCCGATAGTCGACTTGTTTTGGTTACGTAAACTGGTCCGTGTTACTCCAGAGTACCGTCAATTATAATTTGTATTTTGTACTATGTATTAAGATAAAATGCTGTATCTTCAACAATACTTACAGCGTTAGTGCTTAGTATGCTTAGTATAGTGTATTTGCGGCGTTTTTACCCAGTAACTACAAATTTTTCAATAATTTACAGCGTTTTAATTACTTGATTATTGCTTGTATTATACTTTTGGAGTAATATTTCAGACGTACAGCATATTCATTTACACAAACTAAATTTTACAATAATTTATTTGTTTTCAACTCGTTTTTATTTTTTTGGAACTTACGGCGTTTTTTCTTAAGACAGCAGTACTGTAGTTTGTGACAATGATTGATGATTTCTAGGTAGTTGGAAAGAAAGATAAACAAAGAACAGTACTTAAAAAAAAAGTTAAGGTTTAAATCCAACTTTCCACATTTGATAGAAACTAAGTGGACAAGGATACTTAAAACTAAAATCATAAAGGTAGGTAGAGCATAATTTATTAATCCAACTAAAATTATATTCGATACAAATTAAATCATACATGAATGTATTTATTAGTTCATAATGGCAAAGAACATAATAGATAGTTTGTAGTAATAAACTATAATATAATATAGCATATTACATAGGTCACATCATATTAATATATTAGAGCAATGATATTAGTATAGGTAATAATAGTAATTATTAGTTATTATAGCTTACAGGGCAGTTGGAAACTTGGAGTAATTGACTTAAGTTCGTGGACATATGATTGCATTAATGCTGATAAAAATGATAGTCCAAAAGTGGTGATAACGTTGAACAGCTGTTCCTGTTCGAAGTTTGAACATTTCGGCACGCGCAGTCGATTTTCGATAGGTACATAATTCATATTTTCATGGTGGGTTCACATTTTAAAGATACCTACTATTACATACACAGTACACAGTCACACAGAGTATTACAATTTAGTATTTACACTTTACAGACATCATTTTATAAATTACTTATATTATCATTAATTTATTATTAAGCTCAGTATAAATGTATAATAGAATATAGTTTATCAGTACCTATACTACTTATTACACCTAATTGTGGTCATTTGTGGTAGTTGTCTAACAGACTGCAGATGACTTATCACAGTTATTATTTTATATATCTTACATCAAAAATAGTCATAATATACCTACCGACGACGTTACGACAACTATATAATACAATAGTCTATAACTATGGTAGCCCTCATTATCCAGACTGTTGCATGATTCGTTCGAAATGTCGAGTCGTCGAATAGAATGAATCAAGACCGATTGTTTTATAAGTTATAAAAAAACGATACAAAATTCATTGTTATATAATTATTGGTAATTTGTTAATCGTTAATGATATCTATCTACTCGATAATTGAACTAAAGTAAAATTCGCGAGCACGTCATATTTTTGTTTTGGTTTTGGCCGGTTATCGGTACCCACCACCTTTTCAACTCGGTGATAGTAGGACGTTTACATTCCGCCGAGTCACCGCCACCCCCACTCCTGGGTTCACCTACACCAACACCAGTCCCCACCCGCCGACCGGAGTACAGGTCCAGCACTCCGACCTTCCGTCGTCGGCGCGTCGGCCATCATCATTCATCGTAGTTGGCACTTGGCTGCTCGTTCGGCGTAATAGCACGACGAATATTAAGTTATAACTAAAGGTATACTTGTCTATGGTTATAACGCAATACTTTTTCCCGTTTCTCACTTGGATATTCCCATTTTCATCGCGCAGTTTCGTTCGGGTTCCAGATCTCGATCGTCGTTTGCGCGTGCGTAAGTGCGTGTGTTCTGGTGTCAGTAGTGTACTGTAATAATAGGTATTGTGTATTAATTATTATTGCATTCTACTGTTGTCGTCTACGGCCGTGTGCCACTGTCTGCGTTTGAGCGTGTGCAGAATATGCGCTGTGCGCCGCGGCACGTTCGGTGGTTGTAGCTCCGCGACGTTTTTGGGCGAATATAGACGCTATTGTGACGTGAGTATTCCGCCGTGCCTAGTACATAGACTTAGAGTTGAGACAATGGGCACGAACAAAAAAAAATAAATACATTTACAATCGAAACCGACCTCCTGTTCCACGCTCGTGGACGGTGTATAGAAGTCGGTGTTCGGTCGCCATTTCTCTGGTATCGGCGTCGTAACTTGAGCAGAACGCCCAGGTTGTTGCAGACCGTATTTTAGTCTCCTCAAGCCCCCTCACTAATATATGCCTACTTGCCCATCAATTTATTGCTGTCGTGTTCGTGGTGTACCGATCATCGTCCATTTTGCCAACATTAATAAGTTTGATCCTTCACCGTAAACCCTAAGAGTTCCGTTGATGTTAACTGCATCATCTTATCCACAAAGTGATAAAATTAGCTGTTATTATATTCCTTGTTGCATTTCAATGTTACCAATTTCGTCTCCATTTGAATTGCTTCTTTTGTTTAGTTCACTCTTCCCGGATTTTACGATGTTTCAAACACTTATGATCGTTTTTGACTCATCTTAACACCTATCAACACTTAACAGTTTAAATATTGCATAATATTGTCTTTTGTATCTACACAATGATTAGGAATTTAATTTTTGGTATTTTAATGTTGTATTTTAAGATATTAGGAATATTATGTTATTTATATATGTAATAATTTGTTAGTAAAGAGGGTCTATTTTAGAGATATTAAAAGAATTTTGTTTATTCCAATAACAAGAGGACAGATTTTCTTAAATTCAAACAACTTTTTTTCATTATTAACACCAGTTAAACATTTTACTAAGGTAATAAACTATTACGTTATCTATTGTGAAATACTAGTACCTATTATTTATATCAATTTTTAGTTAAATTGAACGTTTGTTTTAGCATGTGTAAAGTTTACCCCTCACAAATAAACAGTTACTTTTAAATTTGAATTTGACATTAATAGGTACAAATAAAACAAAGGTTTTCTACTATAAACCCAATACATTTTAGTAGGTATTCATTACATTTTTAATTTATAGTTTCTGTAATTAGACGGGTACCTATATTTTGTAACATGCATGTAATATTCAAGTAATATTAACAGTAATATTTGAGGTACCTAATATTTTATTATGATGTCTACAATATAAAATCCTGGATTTGACCAAAGTTATTAAAGGGCTAAAAGGATACCTACCTCAGCAATCACATAGTTTAAATCTGGACCTGTGTAAAAAAAAAAAACAGTTTAAATTGGATGTACCTACAAATCTGTCTGACAGAAACAATTATACCTATTTTAAATAAACAACCCTGTGTAATATTAGGTATCTATAATAAAACATAATATTTTTTTTTTAAATTATTGGTTCTTGATAGTTTATCATCTACTTTGTTTTTAGTAAATTCAATGTTGGTACATTTACACATTTACAGTAAAATTGTTATCATCTGTGTGTTTGGTATTGATTTTTTTTTTATTAAGGTCAAGGTATGATAATATCATGAAAACACAAGTAACTGACTATCTAAGTTATTATTATTTTAACATTGATCGGAAGTTTTATTTTTGGGACGTACATTATTTTTAACTTCCTACATACATAGGTATTTATTTTATTTATTTAATAACTTTATAAACAAAAGTATTCCTATTGAACATGTGTGTAGGTAATCTGATTTTTTTTATAAATTGATTTATTTCCTAGTGGTTGTTTAACCACTTGATACTTTTGGCTGTTTCTGTAACATAAAAATGCACATAAATTCTTCTAGAAACTTCATTGTAATAATTTTTTTTTTACTATGAAAAAGGTTAAGTTACAACAATCAAAACAATTTGACAATTTAGATCATAACAATTGTTAAACTTATATTCTTATTATTAACTGTTCACTGTTTTAAAGATCATCATAAATAATGTGTAGGTGTGAGTATTCAACATATTTTTCTTTAATATTAATTTTAGCAGTATTAACATTTTATACCTACACTTTTAAATCTGAAACTAAAGTAATTTAATTAAGTACCTACTTGCTTAACATTTATTTACTTGTTATCTAAATAAGAACAGTATTTCATGTCCAAAAGTCAAGTTTATATTATTTTTCACTATACTAGGTATTGGATAAAAGTTAAATAGGTATAATAATATTTATATACAAACAATCATAATATTGTTATGTTTTTAGAAATTCAAAAAACAATTCCTTTTTACCAACATTATATTTATTTAATCATAATTTTGCGACTTATTTAAATTTTTTTATAAGAACAAAAAAAATGACAAAGTGTGCAATAAAACTTTTTTTAAACTAAATAAATTACTCAAAATAATATCATTTAGTTACTTTTGATTACTTGCCATGACCTTGATATAAAATTATATAAATTTACTATGAACCCAGATCTCTGCCAAATAGTTGTGTCCACCTATATTACACGTTACATTGTTTTTATTTTAATATGAAATGTGTTGTTCACTTTGTTTATTTATCCATTAAATATATTTTTTAAATATTTTAGAGTTCACTGTACGATTGTTCATAAAAGATGGCTGATGTTGATCCAGAAACTCTTCTGGAGTGGCTTAACATGGGCCAGGGTGATGAAAGAGATATGCAACTCATTGCACTTGAACAGTTATGCATGTTACTATTGATGTCTGATAATGTTGACAGATGTTTTGAAGTGTAAGGCATTAGTTTTTTTCTTTTAATTAAATATAAAATTTTAAATTATTAATGAGTAAAACTTTATGTTTTAGATGTCCGCCCCGCTCATTTTTGCCAGCACTTTGTCGGATATTTCTTGATGAAAGTGCTCCCGATAGTGTGCTTGAAGTGACTGCTAGAGCTATTACTTATTATTTAGATGTGTCTGCTGAATGTACTAGACGTATTGTGGCAATTGATGGTGCATTAAAAGCAATTTGCAATCGATTAGTAATCACAGACATATTTTCAAGAACAAATAAAGATTTAGCTGAACAGTGTTGTAAAGTATGTTCATTTTTAACTGTGAGGAATTTCAAACAAGTAATTAATTTTTTTTTTGATAATCTAGGTATTGGAACTAATATGCACTCGTGAAGCAGGTGCTGTTTTTGAGGCTGGTGGCCTAAGTTCTGTATTATTGTTCATTAGTGATGTCGGATCTTGTGTGCACAAAGATACCCTACATTCAGCTATGACTGTAGTTTCTAGATTGTGTACTAAAATGGAACCAAATGAAGCATCATTACCTACTTGTGTTGAGTCTTTATCTACAATGCTTAAACATGACGACTCTCATGTTTCCGATGGAGCTTTGAGATGCTTTGCGTCATTGTCTGATAGATTTACACGTCGTGGAATTGACCCAGCTCCTTTAGCACAACACGGACTTTTAAATGAATTGATACTTCGATTATCTTCAGCGGCTGGACCTACAGTAACAAATATAGGAACACCTGGTACATAATTTTTGAAATAATTCAATAGTATTTAATAATAATAATTCCTCGATTATTTTTTTCATAAAATATTATGTAACATATTATTTCTATTTACCATTTTCAGGTCTAAATACGAATACTTCAACAACTGAGGTTAAGTCTTCTCAGTCCATATCTACAGTTATAAGCTTGTTAACTACCCTTTGTCGTGGATCTAAATCTGTTTCTCATGTATGTCTTATTTACTAAAAACAGCATTTTAAATTATACAAATAATACTTTTTAGAATCATAAAAATAGTTAAAAAAACTTTTTTTTAGGATTTATTTAGATCTAACTTAGCTGATGCAATTGAAAAAGCTCTAAAAGGCGACGAAAGGTAATTATTTAAATTGTCTATTTGTACTCTTAATAATATTTTTCAATATGTTATTTATTTATTGTTGTACCTAATTTATACTAATTTATAATTTAGATGTTGTTTGGACACAATGCGTTTAGTTGATTTATTACTAGTCTTACTTCTTGAAGGGCGTGATGCGGTATCATGGAGTACAGTAGCATGTACAAGTAATAATCCTTTATTACCAAAACTTCGTCGTTTAGATTCTAGTGCAGAAAAATCTCAACGCCATTTAATTGATTGTATCAGAAGTAAAGACACAGAAGCATTGATGGAAGCTGTTAATTCAGGTGGTATGTAAAATTGAATCTACAGCTCATTTAATCATAAACTCTATAATTTTGATAATTCTCTTAGCAATTGACGTAAACTTTGTGGATGAAGTGGGTCAGACTCTACTTAACTGGGCTTCTGCATTTGGTACTCAAGAAATGGTAGAATATTTGTGTTCTAAAGGAGCTGATGTCAATAAAGGTCTGAGATCATCATCATTGCATTATGCCGCCTGTTTTGGAAGGCCATCCATAGCTAAAATCCTTCTAAAAAATGGTGCTAATCCAGAACTTCGGGATGAAGAGGGGAAAACCCCATTGGATAAGGCCCGAGAAAGAATGGATGAAGGACATCGTGAAGTTGCTACTATATTGGAATCTCCTGGTTAGATAACTAATAATTAGTTTTCAATAATTTAATTTGAGTTAACGCTAATAATACTTTTGTAGAGTGGTTGATGTCTTCCAAAAATGAAATTGTTCAGTCAAATGAATCTAAAGAACCAAAAGGAGATCCTGAGATGGCTGCAATTTATCTTAAACGCTTAATGCCTGTTTTTTGTCATACATTTCAATCAACTATGC